GCGGCGGCGGCGGCGGCCCGCCGCAGGAGACGAAGTGGCGTGCCGCCGGGCTAGAAGCGGTGGTTCTTTCCGACGATGATGATGCGGACGAGGTGAGTGGGCCACACCATACGACATAAGGTGGGGATTACAGATAGCACCCGCAATCAAGAACCTTTAGCTTTGGGCCGGGGCTGGGGTTCGTTTTGTAGTTCCCGTTGTGGGTCACAAATGGCCGCTGTCATAGTTTTTTGGTGCGGTGGTGTGGGTTATTGCCCGGGCTCGCACATGATGCTAAGCTCTTACCGGTTGATAGAATGCTGAGTGAGCTTGAAGTCCTTAGCCGCCAAGTTCTTCAAGCGCTGGCGCTATCTTGTATGTCGCGATCCCCGCTCTCGCTCGTTCTGGAATCGGGAAGATCGCACCACAGGACATGGATGTGAGTATGCTTCAGAAAATACTGAGCTGAATGATATTCCACATACCCATCGATCAAGTACCTACCGTAGATGCTGCTGCCAAGGTGTTTGCACAATAGCCATCTCGGGATTGAGGCTGTGGCGTGGTTTCGGCAGAGCCGTATTCGTTTTGTGGGCGGAAGGTGGTGCCGGGAACATGTGCGCGTAGCAGCCGCTGTTGGGGTTATCTCTAGAATCAAGAAGCACGAGGTATAGCACCACCACAGGTGACGCTCAAGGCAGGCATGAAACGTCCCCGTACTTTGCGCCTTTTTTTGATCTCCTCCAAACCCTCCTGTGTGCCCCGACCTTCCGCGCGGTGGTGGCGACAGGCGCTAGCAACGCTGGGCGGCGAGAGCTTTTTCGACGGCTCCCTCCTCGATCTGATCGACGACCTCGAGGTAAAAGCAGGATGCTACGGTCCAGGGGGGTCATTATGGGGTGACATCTTTACAACGCTGGAGAAAAAACGTATGGTTCTGTTTCGATGATCTTGCGGCCATGTAGGACGTGGCCATAAGCGCTCGTCAACCACCACATTGCCTCCCGGGTACACGACTTGCCGCTACGGAGAGTACCAATCGAGCGTTGCAACCGTAAGGTTTTTACAGGAAAGAAGAGCGTGTCTCACAGCTCAACTCACAACACAACGCCGCGGAAGCTTGGCTTATTGGAGTTCCTGCCCTGCTGTTGTGTCTCCCCTTGGTGGCGAAACAAAGAGAGTGTGCGAAATGTCTTCGGGTACTCCTGGTGGGTAAATCTACCGTCGTAAGCGACCGGGGTAGGTGTAAGGGAGAAACGGCGTACACTAAGTCGTAAAACGGAAAGCGAAGGTGTTGGTTTCTGCTTCCTTGTCAAACAAACGGAACGGCGTGTTTTGTTTTTTCATCAATCCCAACGGTACAGAACGCGCCAGCGACCACTTTTGAACCTCTGATTTTGGCGGAAAGTATGCGTACTTGTTTCTTGCTTTCCTCCAGGAGTACCCCCGCGGCGACCGCATCATTGTGGTTTTTTAGTGCAGGCTTCCTGGCGGAGCACCTGTTCTTATGGCCCGCCATTCTTATGGCCCGCGAAGCTCTTGTTTTTTTTTTGTCAAGTTCTCACACTGCTACATCGTTCGCGAGTTATAGCGCGTTCGTTTGTCGCGAGATACGGGAGTTCTGATGGGTTGGGGTTCCCCGCTATGGCTTTATCTCTCCTCACGCGATGCAGGAATCACACGTTCCCACGGCGGCGGCAGCAGAACCGGAAGCCCCTACAGCAGAGTTGGCATCCTCGAGAAAACGTAGGGAGGTACCACCCCAAAGCAGCAGCAGCAGTTGGCGGATGATGGGTGGCGCGGTGGGGCAAAAGATACTCAGCAGCGACGGCGGCTGGAGAAGAAGAGGCCCCGTGGAAGCAGACGGAGGGCCTGGATGGGGTTCGGGCGGCATCTCCGACCGGTATGACGAACTGGACGAGGACGAGGACGAGGACGAGGACGAGGACGAGGAGGGCGATTACTGAAGAAGCTTGTCTGTTGTGTGATTGCAGGGTCCAGACTTGAGCGGCCGCGCGTCACCGGAGGGGGTGCAATCCGCGGTGC